CTTTCCTTTCCTTTCCTTTCCTTTCCTTTCCTTTCCTTTCCTTTCCTCTCTTCCTCCCTTCTTTTCCTTCCTTCCTTCTTTCCTTCCTTGTTACATAGCATTGGCCTTATCTGAAATTCCCATCCCTACTCTTTGTCATCAATCTACACCTTCTTCCTTCAAAATACCACATGGAACTTATGGGCTCCATAAAACCATCCCAGAGGCAGACAGTAGCATAGTGGATAGAATGCCAGACCTGGAGTCAAATCTGGTTTCAGGGACTGGCTAGTTATATGACCTTGGGCAAGTCATTTAACCAGTGTCTGCCTCAGTTTCTTCATCTATAAAATGGTGATAATCATAGTGCCTACCTTCCAGGGCTGTTGTGAGGATCAATTAAGATAATGTTTGTAAAGCCCCTTCTAAACCTTAAGGCATTACATAAATATTAGCTGTTGTTATTAATATTATTATTGTTATTATTATTATTAACCTAATCTTGTACTATATGACTTTATTCCCTTATGTGCTAATTTGCCTTATATTCACATTCCCTGATTTATATACTTCTTTGAAAGTGTTATGTTTTTTTCTCCATGTGTTTTGGTAGAATGCAGGCTTGAATTACAGCTTTGCTGCTTACTATATGACCTTGGGCAAATCACTTTACTGAGCTTGGATTCACTTTCCTCATCAGCAAAATGGGAAAAAAAATAGTTGCCTTAGTTATCAAAGGCTTGTGGACAAGGCCAAACAAAATAATGGATTTAAAGTGCTTTGTCAACTCTTAAGTATTATATAAGGAGCTATGACAGTAATGAATAACAGCACTAATAATCCCAGTGCTTTCACTCGATTACAAATAGTAAATAATTTGTTCCACCTGAGCAATAGTTTGCTGAACACTAAACATAAAGGAATCATCGAAGGAGAGTATCTTTTATGGGCACTGCTTCTAGATGAGTTCCATCCAACATGAAGCAGAGAAGAATGAAATAATGATCATGGTAAGAGGGAAGGAAGTGCAGCACCCTCTGCTGGGTACTGTAGGGAAGAGAGGATCTCTGCCCTCGAGAAGCTCCTAATCTAATGATATCATAGCTCTCTTTGAGAATGAAGGACAAACAACAACAACCAGAGATAAGACTTGTGCATGTGTGGGTGGTCCATGTGATAAGTCAGTAGAGAATCAAGTGTTAGACTGTGCGGCTCAAATGATGAGGGCAAAAGGATCTCAGGGGAAGGTGTGCTAAAGTGGGATCAAGGAGGGCTGCCTGGAGAAAGATCCCTCATTTGACAGATGAGGACCCTGAGGCACAGGGAGATTCGGTGACTTGTCCAAGCTCACATAGCTAGCCAGTAAGTATCTGAGGCAAGACCTGAATCCAGATCTTCCTGGCTCCAAGTCCATCATTCTCTCTACTTTGTGGCTCCTTGCCTTGGGAGGTGAATTTGGAGCTAGGGTTCGAAGGTTTGTGAAGAAGTGCTCCAGAAGGAAAAGATGGACAGAGAGATGGGACTAGACTCACCCCTCATGGTCATCCAGGAAGCATACTTTCATCCATTTTTTAACACAGGCAAGTGAAGAAAGAAAACCAGTCATTTTTTAAAAAGAGAGAAAACTTGTATCAGCCTTCCTTTAATAACAGCAGTGAAAGATCCATGGGCCATTAAGAGGGGAAGGGATATGCAGGAGAAAGAGAATTTCATCTCAGTCACATTCTCCTAAAAGACCACTGCATCTGAACACAGAGATTACTTTTCACTGAGGAACGTGCCTGCAAATACAAAGTCTGTTCCCAGCACGTCCTTCTCTGTCTTTCCAGATTTCTTGCTTACACTGAGGCTCTAAGCCTTCTTGTATCGAGGGACTACCATTCTACAGGATGACAGATCTTGGAGTACCTGAATGATGCCAGGGACTGAGGTGTATAATAACCCACATGGGGCAAGGCTCACAGAAAAAGAAATATCTAGCAAAATATAAACTCTTTGAAGGCAGGGACTATATAATTTTGTTTTTTCTCTCTCTAGTACCTAGAACAGAGTCAGGCATACAGTAGGTGCTTAATAAATGTTTGTTGATTGACTGATCGATTCTAGCCCAATGCTGGGGCAGCTAGGTAGCTCAGTGGATAGAATGCTGGCCCTGGAGTCAGGAAGACTCATCTTGCCAAGTTAAAATTTGGCTCCAGTCATTTATTAGCTGTGTGACCCTGGTCAAGTCACTTAATCCTGTTTTCCTCAGTTTCTTATCTATAAAATGAGCTGGAGAAGGAAATGGCAAACCACTCCGGTATCTATGCCAAGAAAACTCCAAATGGGGTCACAAAGAGTTGAGCATGAAACAACTGAACAACGACAATAAAGCCCAAAGCAGGGGTTGATGAAAGTAGAGAATATGAAGGATAGGCCAAAATATCTATGATACCAAAATAGCCTTTTGGGAAACAACTCTAAGCTCTCAAACCTGTTGAAGAAATCACCCTCATGAGTTGGGCTTGAGTTACCTTGAATGTAGAGGTCCAAATTAAGAATTTGTTAGGAGTACCAACAGCTTACATTGCTATAATTCTATAAAGCACACAAAAAATCTTCCCAATGATCCTATAAGGTAGGTGGAGCAAGCACTCTTTAAAAAACAAACAAACCCATTTTACAGATGGGAAAACTAAGGCAAAGTGATTTGTCCATGATTACTCAGCTGGTAAGTGTCAGAGCTGGCATCTTACCCTGGGTCTTTTTTTTTCCCACCATGTTGTCTCTCTAAAGAGGGCAGCTTTTCCCCAAAGGCCAATGCCAACCTGAATTCTCAGAAGGGGTCATGGCTGCTTCTATTCTCTGTGTCCCTTGGAGACGTGACTAGTTGGTAACTGCCAGAGAGGGCAGCCTGAGGTCCCCGTCAGGACATTTTTAGCTTTAGCAACCAGATGTCCCCTCCAGGTAACCAAGAGGCAAAACAAACACTGTCACAAGCTTCCTCCCAAGCACATCTTGACTGCCGGGCCTGCTAACATGGCCCAATCATAAAAACCAAGCTTGCAGATAATAATAGCTGATATTTATTTTGTACTTTAAGATCTGCAAAATGCTTTTCCACATATTATCTCATTTGACCCTCATAGAAACCCAGTGAGGTAGGTGCTATTATTACCCCATTTTATAGATGAAAAAAACTGAGGCTGAGAGAATTTAAGTGAGCAGATCAGGTCACACATCAAGAAGTAAGTAATTGACACACGACTCAAACCTAGGACTTCCTGACTCCAAGTCCAGCACTCCATCCATTATGTCACATGGTCTCTCATAATAGTTGAAATGGATGTGTTTGCAGAGCTCTTTACATTTATTGCCTAATTGGATCTTCATAATATCCCTGGGAAATATGTGCTATTATTACTCCATTTTATAGGTAGGGAAACTGAGGCTCAGAGCGCATAGGGTCACATAGTTATAAAGTCTCTCAAGCCAGTGGGCTGGCTTCCTCCTCAGACTGGTGGTCACCTGAGCCGATGGCCACAGCATTTCTCATTGGTCCTTCTAGCATTACCCAGTCCCCAGGCCCTTTCAGGGCAGATGGGAAAGTGCTCTGGGCTCTAATCCTTGTCCTGACTCTTATTAGCTGCTGCTTTGGGCAAGTTTGTAGGTTGTTAGTACTGGAAGAGACTTCAGCCCTATCCTCTCAATTTACAGCAGAAAAAAACGAAGCCCAGTACTGTTAAATAATTTGCCCCAGGTCATATAGCTATTGGGGCAGCTAGATGGCTCAGTGGATAGAGTGGCAGGAAGATCTGAGTTCAAATGAGGCCTGAACCATTTACTAGCTGTGTGACCCTGGGCAAGTCATTGGACCCTGTTTGCCTCAGTTTCCTCATCTGTAAAATGAGCTGGAGAAGGAAATGCAAACTATTCCAGAGTCTTTGCCAAGAAAAACCCAAAATGAGGTCACAAAGAATCAGACATGACTTAAAAGAAAGACTGAACAACAACAACACATAGTTACAACACATAGTAACCAAGCCCCAAATCAATAGTACAGCATGGTATAATATATATATATATTATATATTATATATATGTATAATATATATAATATATATAATATATATATATAATAGCATAGTACAATTAAGAGAATATAGCTCTGGAGTCAGTGGGTGTGGGTTCACAGCCCACCTTTGGTGGGTATTTACTAGCTGTGTGACCTTGGGGCTGTCCCTTAATTTGCCTGGGTCTTAATTGTAAAATGAGCTTCTGAGTGCCCTTCCATCTCTAGACATGTATGATCCCATGACTTCAAGTCATGTGTTCTTTCCAATGACTTAGTAACAGAGTGGAGTCCAGAATACCTGGGTTCAAATTCCACCTCTAACACTTACTAACAATGTGAATTCTGTGTGCCTCAGTTTGCTCATATGTAAAATAGGGACAATAATATCTGTGGTACCAACCTGGAAGGATTGTTATGAGGCTCAAGTGACATAATTCATGTAAAATACTCTGCCAAGTTTAAGATGCCACATCTTTTTTCTTCCCTGTGAGCTTCAATTCTCTCATCTGTAAGATGGGGATGATAATAGCACTTGCATGAGACCATGGAGATGAATGCATGGTCTGACCTGCAGGGCCTCCTGGCAGCCTATTCCGACAGAAGCTATCCCTGTTGCAGTTCATATGAATCCTCACTCTATTCTCTAACCCTAAGTGTAGGGTCCATCCTGCCTATACCCAATTGCTTGGCACCCACCTGGCAAAGTTGTTGTCCAGGAAGCATCTGTTCCTCAGAAGTCCAGCCCAGAGCTGCACACCCACGATGCCAAAGATGAAGAACACAAAGAAACAGAGGAGAAGGACGTTGCCCAGCATAGGCAGCGTGTCCAGCAGCAATGTCACCAGGATCCGCATGCCTGTGAGGGAGACAAGAAGACGGAACACATGTTACTTCACAGTGGGAGGCAGGATAGTATGTGGGATGGGAGGCGTCATGGCTTTGACTAGCAGCTCTCCCACTTACTGGCTGCATGGCCCAGGGCCAGGTCACTTTACCATTCTTGGACGCGGTTCCTCATCTGTAAAATGAAGGAATTGAATCAGATGGTCACTAAAGGTCCCCTCCGATTCTTAAACTATGATCCTATGACCATAAATGGCCACATTGACCCCTGGATAGGATGGCAAGAGAAGATGGCAAATTTGTCTCCCAAACAGGGGATTGGGACACTGGGACACTTGCCAAAGGTGCTCTGGTTGGTTGGGCACTTGGGATGTGGACTTCGGGACCAATCACAGCTTTGATTATTGGAGGCATGAGAAAAATAACAAACCATCAGAGCTTCTCAGTTCTCTTTGATGCTAACCTTCAACCCTGTCCATGACCTGTCTCCAACCTACTTGTCACCAATGACTGAAGATTACTCTTCTTTCCAGTCTGTCTTGCCTGTCTTGGATAAACAGCACCATCAGCTGGTCCCTGATTTCATTCTTTTCTCCTGCAGGCTGTTCCTTGTGTCTGGAATGCACTCCCTTCTCATTACTACCTCTTGGAAGCTTTCCTTTGACTGCACCCCACTGATCGCACAGATCACATCCTCCTTGGTATCATTCTTATTTGGGTAGATTTCATATCATGTGGTCCCAACCTTCCCCAACTTTCCCCTTTAGACTAGAGGCTCCTTGAGAAGAGAGACTCTCATTTGTCATTTTTGCACCTTCCACCAGTGTGATGTCGCAGAATAGATGCTCTAGTCAATGTTGGCTGAGTTTGTTGAGCTGATCAGCTCTGTTATCCACTGGTTCTGTGACTTTAAGCAAATCACTTTACCATTCTGGGTCTCAGTTTCCTCATCTGCCAAATGGAAAAAAATCTATCCTCTCTCACTCTCAGGGCTATTGCTGGGAGTCAATAAAAGAATAAACTTAGGGGGGCAGCTAGGTGGTGCAGTGGCTAGAGCACTGGCCTTGGATTCAGGAGGACCTGAGTTCAAATCTGGCCTCAGACACATAATACTTACCAGCTGTGTGACACTGAGCAAGTCACCTAACCCCATTGCCTACCCCCCCCCAAAAAAAGAAAAAAAAAGAATAGACTTAAATGTCTTTTGAAAAGTATAACTATTTTATCCAGATTTCTAAGCTTCATTTTTTTCCTATGGAGTTTCCTTGGGATTTTCTCCATTCCATGAATTGTGGTATAAAGCCCAGTAGAGATCAGCATTGACTCACAAGCTTGGTGACTCCAGGGTCCTATGCTTATATTTAAGGTAGGTAGCCAAGGGTGATTATTAACCAATTTTACGGATGAAGGAGGTAAGTCCCAGAGAAGTGAAATGACTTGACCCAAATCATATATAGCTTTCCCTCTGGGATTCTGGTCCAGGGCCAACTCAGTAAAAGGCTATTATGAAGTGCAGAAAGTCTTTAAAAGAAATCACCCTTCTTTTCCTTGCCTTTGGTGCCATCTGTCTGGGGCATATGCATGGGCACAGCCTGATCACCAGGATGTCCAGTGGGGTTCTTGAAGGGTGTTCCTGGGACCCAAGGCAGGAAGCAGGTCATGCTTCTGTAGTGCTTGAAAGGCTCTATAATCCTGCCAGATAATCACAACAACCTTCACAACAACCCTGCCAGCTTGGTAGGAAGGAAGGAGTCCCCTAATGAGAATTATTGTCTATATTTTACAGATGAAGAAACTAAGGCTTCTAAAGGTTAAGCAGCTTTGTTCAGGGTCATACAACTAATGAGTAATGAAACCTTATCCCCAAACCCAAGTCTTGTCAAAGTCCAGTGCTCTTCTGGCAACACCAAACTGCTTCTCAGAACATCAGTCCATCAATCCACCAGCAAGCGCTTAAGCGTCAGCTCTGTGGTGGGCACTGTGCCAATTGTAGGGGATACAAAAGACAAAAGGAAACCATCTCTTCCCCTCAAGGAGCTTATATTCTAATGGGGGAGACATAGATAAATATGCATGGAACAAACACAAAATTAATACAAGGGCTCAAGAAAGACTTCATGGAGAAGATGGTGCTTGAGCTGAGTTTGAAAGGAAACCAGAGGCTTCAGGAAGTGGGGAGGTGAGAAGGGGAAGCATTCTAGGTATGGAGGCCAGACAGCCCAATGAGGAGGCCACTGCAATAGTCCAGGTAAGAGTGGAAGAGGCCCTGAACTAAGGTGGTGGCTGACCAGAAAGAAGAGGAAGTATAAGAGACACGTTGTGGAGCTAGAAGTGACAAGTGTGACAGCTTATAGACATCTGGGCCTTTATTGCTACTCTTAGTGGGAGAGGCAACTGGGTGCCCAGGACCATCGAGGACTTCAGGGAGTGTAGGAATGGGGAGGGAGGGGGGAGATGGCACAGTGTGACAATAAAAATCCAGTGCTTCCAATCTAATGACTGTCATGGTTGACTTGATGAGTTCATCTTTATGTCATCCAGGCCCCAAATCTCAGTCATCTTTGATTTTTCCTTCTGCCTTACCTCAGCCACTTCCATAAAATAAATAGCCCTGTCCATCATATTTGTTCTCATTTTTTTAAAAAAAAATCTCATATCAGCTCTCTCCTTTGTTATTGCCACTGTCACCACCCTGGTTATGGCTTGTCACCTTTCACCCAGACTCTTAGAGTTCTCTTCTAGCTGTGTTCTGCCTTTCAATCCATCCTGCATATACTGCCAGATTAATTGTAAGACGATTTTGATCACGTGTGACCTTGGGCACTTTCTGGGCCTCCCTTGTCAAATGGGAAAGACAGATGTGGTCATCGCTAAGGTCCCTCCCAAGTCAAAAATTCTATGGTTCTAGGGAACTCCTCGAGTGTGGAGCCTACAATACGTTCCCACTGCTAACCAATTACAGTAAAAGGTTCTTTAGTACAATAGGCTTCAGAAGTGGATGGAACCTTTCTTTACCTTCCTTCCTTCCTTCCCTTCTTTCCTTCCTTCCTTCCTTCCTTCCTTCCTTCCTTCCTTCCTTCCTTCCTTCCTTCCTTCCTTCCTTCCTTCCTTCCTTCTCTCTCTCTCTCTCTCTCTCTCTCTCTTTCTTCCCATTCCAATAATGATCATCATGAACCTATTACCTGCTCCCTTTCTCTGACTCTCCTTAGGCAGCCTGGTGGCTGTCCATTCAGCTGGGGGCTTATCCCATTAGCACTAGTCTTGGTGCAGACGCCTGACTAACCTTATTCTTTCTGTAGCTATGAACTCTCAAACTCAAGGGATCCATTAGCCTCAGACTCCTCTAGCAGCAGGGAAAACAGACATGTGTCACCACACCCAGTCTACTTATTTGACAAAAATCATTATTTCTGTAGATATCTGCATTGCACTGATCCCTCCCTTGTAAAAGAAAAAGAGTTAAGCAAAATTAACTGATACAGGAGTGATGCTGAGTGAAGTCAGCAGAACTAGGAGAACATTGTACACAGTAACAGCCATGTTGTGCGATGACTAACGTTGATAGACTTAGTCTTTCTCAGCAATGCAAGGATCTAAGACTTCTCCACAGTCTCATGATAGAAAATGCTATCCACATCCAAAGAAAGAACTATGGAGTTTGAATGCAGATAGAAGCATACTGTTTGCTATTTTTTTCTTCTGGTTTTTTTTTGTTTCCTCTTTCTTATGGTTCCTTTTTTGGTTCTAATTCTTCCTTACAACATCACTAAAGTGAAAATATGTTTAATAGGAGTGTATATGTATAGCCTATATCAGACTGCACACTGTCTTGGGGAAGGAGGCGGGGAGGGAGGAGGAGAAAAATTTAAAACTCAAAATCTTATGGAAATGATTGTTGATAAATCAAAATAAATTAATAAAAAAATACAACAGTGAGTACAGCCCCCCCAGAATTAACCTTTATTGTGGCCCCATCTAATAGAGTATGTAGTATTCTGCTCCCATAGTCCCCATTTCCCTTCTGAGAGATTGAGAGATCAAGTTCTGTTCACTATTCATTTCATTTACATTGTGTACTTATGTAGGTGGCTTTCCTTGTTCTACTTAATTCACTCTGTATCAATTTATACAATTGATCAATAACCAATTAGCAAACATTTATTAAGCACCTATTATGGGCCACTGTGATAAGCATTGGTGATACAAGAAAAGGCAAAAACCAGCCCCTGCCTTCAAGCAGCTTACAAATCTAATGGAAGTCATCCTATATATCTCTGAATTCCTAATTTTTGAAATTTCTCATCATAAAACATTCCATTTCATTACCATACCACAGTTTTTTTTTAGTTTCACCAAAGGATACCCACTTTGTTTTGAGTTCTTTGTGACCAACAAAAGTATTACTATGAGTATATTGGTATATATAGGGTTTTTCTTTCAGCCTTTGACCTCCTTAGGAGTATATACCTAGAAGAAGCATCACTGGGTCAAAGGATATAAACATATTAATGGCTTTTCTACATAAATCAAAAACACCTCCCAGAGTGGTTGGTTCCATTCACAACTCAATAGACAGTGTACTGTTGTGCCTGTCCTCCCATAACTCCCTCAAAATAGGCTCTTTCTGTATTACATCATTCTCAGACTTTTGATGACTGCAAGCTGAAACCTCAAAGTTGTTGTAATTAATATTTCTCTTATTGTTGGTGATTCGGATAATTTTTCAGATGATCATTGGCATTCTGCATTTCTTCTTTTGAGAACTGTTTGTCCATGTCTTCTGACCATGTGTCTGTGATGGAATGGCTATTGGTCTTAAATATTGATGTCAATTCCCTATATAATTAAGCTATCAGAACTTTATCAGATATTTGATGCAAAGTTTTTTTTCTCCCAAATGACAGTTTCTTTTCTTATCCTAGCTACATTGATTTTGCCTTGAAAAAATTTTAACTTTATGTGTTTGAAACTACCTATTTTATCTTTTATAAAAACCTCTATCCTTCGCTTCAA